TCCAGATATATAAGGGAAGGTGACTCAACGCAAAGACAATAGGAAATAGAGCAGACCCTTAGGTGAAGATAAATCTGCTGGGTCAATAGCTGCCCGGGTGGACCGAAGCCAACTCGATAAAGCACCTGCTCTATACGCTATATAATATCCCCTCAGTATCTATTGACTTTCTCTTATATTTCCTTAAATTATTAATTAAAAACAAAATAAACGCAATACTATCTTGTAGTTTGTTGAGGAATATTCAAGTTTATATAAGACAGTCTTACGAGTATTTATACAAAATAAATGGTAATATGTTTGAACAGGTAGATAAATTTAGGTATCTAGGTTCTACGATAACTAGAAAAAACGAAATTGAAGAAGAGATTAAGGTTAGACTGAAGGCGGGGAATGCTTGTTATTTTTCTGTGACAAAACTACTTAGTTCGCGCCTCTTGTCCCGAAACTTAAAAATTAGAATCTATAAAACAATTATCTTGCCTACAGTTCTTTATGGATGCGAAACTTGGCCGCTTACATTAAGGGACGAGCAGCGTCTTAAGGTTTTTGAAAATAAAGTATTGCGTAGAATATTCGGACCGAAGAAGGATGAGTTAACCGGAGAGTTCAGACGGTTACACAACGCCGAATTGCGTGAGCTGTATCTGGGTAATATAATTGAGGTAATTTCATCGCGGCGAATCAAATGGGCTTGTAAAGTTGTTGGGCTTAGTAACGAGAGAATTCCTAAAAGGTTAATATTTGCTGTGCCGAATGGTAAGCGTCCGAGGGGTAGACCGAAGCGAAGGTGGGAAGATTGCATTAAAGCCGATCTGAAGGGACTGGGTTTGGATGGCGAACGGTGGAGGGAGGTGTGTAACAAGCGATTGGTGGTGTCGGCATCGAACCTTCGGGTTCGCTAAGCCTTATTATTATTATTATATAAATACAATACCATCTTGTAGTTTGTTGAGGAATATTCAAGTTTATATAAGATCTTACTGGTATTTATTTATTTACGAGCAAAACCTAAGAACTAGTATTTATTTAAATGCTAACGAGAGAAAATAATATTCGAAATTTAGCGCTTACAAAATTTGACTTCTCAATTATAATTTTTTTGTTAGTTAGTCCACACACAATAACCTTTTTTCAATATTGACATAACACTTATCCAATGCCTCATTTTTACTTTCACTTACGTATATATTTAATTTATAGTAAGGGTAAGTATTGCGATCGTGAATATTTTTGAATCTGAGTTTTCAACGGAAATACACGTTTTGAGGTACCCTGAGTTCAAATAACCAAGTCCCACAAAATAGTCTCTGTATGGGTGTTAACTGTCTAGTCCAAAAGCGAAGTGAAATTGCATTAAGGTTTTTATGTACCTGAGATGTTACAGCAACTTATTCGTCAAAATAGGCTAATCGGAACTGGCACTTTATATAATGTACTAAATACATTTTTACGATTATATCGAAAACAGTTCTAACGATTTTTATTAAATTCATCATATCATTGTAAAATTAAGTAGTTTTAAATAAAATGTGGTTATTATTCTGATTGATGTTCTCTAACAATTCTTAAATGGTTAATTTTCAATATTAGCTTCCTCTAAAATACCTTTAATTTTTTTTTATTTCATACAGTTGACCATTTCACATTAATTTTTAATATGAAAAATGGGTAGATATAAAATATGATAGAATTTGATAAATAACTACAGGAGAAATAAGAGATCATAATGCAGAATAGTAGTAATTGAGGAACCAAAGGATATTTAACTGTATAGATTACAGCGATACAAATATTACAATTTGTATATATGAGGATACTTATACAAATAAAAATACCCACAATGAAATATAAATAAATATAGGGTCTATATTTTTTATTTTCACTTCGCTTTGTCTGAAAATACTTATTTCTGCTAAGAAGAGTGTGATAAGTGAAAGTTGTGTGATGCGCAGATTTTTTAATTCAATGAAGAAACCTTTATCGAACCAAGAAATAATAAATTAAAGCCGTTTGTTGTCGAATCAACGAATCACATTAGAGTGGATTATTTATTAAAGATTTATTTATTGTAGTACTCCTTCTGCAACTACACAGTAGCGCATCTAGCGAAGTTGATGTAACTTCTCATTTTATGCGTATTTGCTTGATAATGACCTTTTTTAGTTATTGCTGAAGGATCAGATCTCTGCGCCATTTTCTTTTTAATTTGCATCGAGCAGGTAGAAGAGAAGGAAGTCGAGTGGTTTAGGTGATTTTGAGTTGGAAAGTGAAATGTTATGTATGTAAGATTTTATTGTTGAAAGTTGTTATGGATAGTATATTTTGAAAAAAACATGGTGCATTAACTTTTATTGGCAGAATTTTCGACTTTATTATTTTTATTATGTTTATGTGTGTTTGTTTTGCTGATCGGTCTCAGTATAGTGTTGTAGATTATTCAAACAAGTTGAGTGAGGATCAGTAAGTCCAGAAGATGTGAGTTATATCTTCTACTCATTAATTTCATATGAAAGTTCCAAGTAAGTCTTTTATCTGATTGTAGGAAGTGTCCGATGTACCGTATATAGTATTTTATAAGCATTTGGATGTTGTCGATGGTTACAGGTGGACATGAAGCTTCCTTTAGAAAGAAACTTACATGGCTGGATTTAGTAGGTTTAATTTTAATTTTCCATTTATAGAACCACATTTGGATGTCAAATAAATGGTTCTGAAGGCCAATACTAAAATAAGATATTTATGGAAAGATAGTACAGTTGTATCGTTAACGAAGGTGACCATTGAGGGAAAAGGGTACTTGGGAACATCAGAGGTGAATAAAATTTTAAAATATTTTTACCATTATTTATAGAAGTGCTAAAGAACAATAAGATGAAGGATAAGAGATACCTAAGTTTTGAAGGTTGAGGCATCACTATGACTATGTATATATACATATATATAAGAAACATAACAGCTTTTGGAAGAAGGTGGCGAAAAACACTAGCGGATCCAGAATTTAATTTTGAGAGAGGCTTCAGCCCGAATGATTTTTTTCATATAAATAACGATAATTAATAAAAAAAATGAACTACCTACATGAAATGATGTTTAATTGATTGTTGAAGTCCAACTAAATGCAATACACGAACAATAATACTTTAAGAGATAGTTTTTAATATTTTTTTCTGTAAAACATAGTTATATTTTACCGTTTTGTGGGGAGGCTTCAGCCCGAAAGCCTCCCCTCCCCACCGTAGATTCGTCTGTAGCGAAGAATAAAGGGAGTGTTAATATCAAAGCCAGAAGCTTTTTTTAATTGGAATTAAGTTGATTTCTTTGTATATTTATTCTGAAAGAAATGACGTTGGTGGTGTTGTCAATTCAACTTCAATTTTAATAGTGAGATACGATATATATCGATATAATTTTTCAACCTTAAATATTTGAGCTATTCCGTATGAAAAGCCCTAACCTATACACAAAATTTCTTCCAAAATATTATTGAATATTATATTATAGGAATATTATCGACAGGATTTAAAATGTATTAAAAGTTTTAAAGGATGGTAAACATATTATTATTGAGAGGTTTATAAAAACCCACTTTTCTAAAATTAACACTAGTTGCATAAAAGTCATAAATTATCAGGCAGTATGTTAGGAGTAAAACTTTCTGTTGGACTGAGTCCAAGACAGAATTCATATAAATTTTCAAAGAACATAAATGAAAACGAAATAGATTTTTATTGATATTAAATACTAACTGTCTTGTTTAATTCATATATTTTTTTCTGTTCAATTTTATGTATTTGCTCATATGTTCATACTTTGTTGTGAGTAATGAACAGGGATGCCTATCCCCTCCCTCAAAGATCGATAGCACAAAAACCTATCTTCCCCCTCCCTCCCAAACTATTTTATTGTCCACCTATTCTTAAAAACAGAGTACGTGAAGGGAGAATTAGAAAAATCGTAGTTCATATACAATTATACTTGCTGTGCCAAGCCCCATGTTTTTCCTCTGTCCTTTAGAAATTTTACATTTCCAAAATTCATAATAATGTCTAAATGTGCCCCTTCAAAAATTCAAAACCTGTTAAAATTTTGTTGGCGCAATTTCCCCTCCCCTCCCCCTCCCCCGGTAATGAAGATCATAATTTGTTTTCTATGATTATTAAAAAACTAGGCATTAGAATACAAATTGTATTCTTTATATTAATATATCTGCACTACTATAACGACACCATGTACATTTTTTATTAAATAATTTAGTAATTAAGAAACAAATTTTAATAGCTCAAAGCTATAGAAAATTAGCTCCTCTAAAGAAATACAAAAAAGACATGTTATTCTTTACTTGTGGAATACAGATATAAAAAAGATAGGCATATAATTCAATCGCATGCAGATTTTAATTTTTATCAACATGAAAAAGATGAAATTTATAAAACAGTAATACTAATTCCTTAAAATTTACATATGTCTGATTAATATGTAAGTATTCAGCAAAAGTGAACTAATGTGCAAATTATAAGTTTAAAGTTGTTTCGAAAGCTTATTATTTTCAGCAGGAAGGTATATTTTACCAGAAACCTCTTGATTCATATATTTTCAACAGAAAACCTAAAAACTCGGAAATAATTATTCAATTAATAGTACCCACTTTAAATAGGATGGTTGATCCCAGAGAAATGAATTAACAATTACCTGCTCCATTCGAAAATTAAATATTTTCAATAAAAAACATTATTGTAATTACATATATTTTAATAATTTGTATTATTACTTATGTTATTAGGTGAACAACTGAATCTTCCCACCTCCAAGTCTTAAAAATAATTCAAGCCATTGCACATTTACTTGTTCATAAATATTAATTATTAACAATTAGCTATTATTTTAATTTGGTATGATGACATCTTTGTCTGGTGGCAAGAGGATTTCGTTTGTCTATGAAGTATTATTTCAATTTTATTTTTTCATTGAAAAAGGGATTGAAAAATAAAAATAAAAAATTCAAACAAAAATAATAGGTTTATTGTTTTGAAATTTTATTTTCCATGAATCACTTGATTCACAAAATGGAAGTATTCAACCCACATACAACAAACAATTTCAATGCTATTGCAAAATGCCGGCATATAATATATGCATAACAATATATTATATTGTTGCATGAAACATAAATTATTGTTAAAATAAATGATAAAACATATTTAATAACTCTTATAATACACATTTGTACATTTATTCATATTTACATCAGTACACGAAAAACTTAATCCTAGTTTTGTGCAATGCTTTTTTATTTTAAAATATCAAAAACAGAAGACACTATGTACACAGTTTATCTAATTAAAGAATTTTTTAAAATTTCTTATTCTCATTTTGATAAAAATAAATTCTGGATCTGGTTTTAAATCCAGCAAAACTAGCTATTCTTAAAATATTTATTATTGAGCGCTGAGAAAAAAAGTTAGCATTGTACTGGTAGATCACAGCTTTAATTTTTTATGTACAACTTATTTACAAACTTATAAATGATTAAGCGTTTTGGACGTAACAATGCTTAAATCAGAAAATACAAATTTAAAACATACTTTGACACATGGTTTTTCTATTATAATTTTTTTATACAAATTTACTATAGGTGGGTAATAAAAAAATCATGCAATAGACAAAATCATAAATATTTCATCAGGGGAAAAAAAGATCATAAAAAAAAATTTGCTCCCAATATTAAACAATAATAGACCAGAAGAAAAATAAAACTATTTTGTAGTTCAGCAATCAAAATGAAAAATTAAAAATGTTTGGAAATTTTCTATGTTAATATTTGCATGTACAATATAGTACACTATAAAATAGAATTCATTTAATTTGCCACGAATTTCTGTATTTTATTTAGTTTGACTTCAAGTTACACTTCTTTGGTTTTATAGTTTTTGCCTTTGTTATGTAGATATATATTTATTTATTTTTTATTGTATTGTATTACAGTATGAATGTGTCTCACTGAGCTTTAGTACTCGATGCCCTTAAGTGTGGCAAAATGTATTATTTCTCAATAAAAAAATCTTAAATAAAATAGATACTATTTTTATCATTATAAAATCCAAACTATTTTTCTTCAGAACATTAGTTAAGATTTTTTTTAAACATCGATTTAAATCAAATACAAATATTAGGTTTCCTATATCTTTTTATATTATTATATTTATAATCAATAGAAAATTTAATAAATTTTATAAAATTTATATTTTTTGTAAGCATTTGATTTAATACAGATTTTGATCCCACTAATATGATTTATTTCTAAAAGCTAAAATATAAAAATTTAAAAAATGTTATGTTAGACAAGAATATTTTTTTAAACTTTTATAAAAAAATCAGCATTTTCAGAAAAATAATGAGATGAATTATCTTAATTGCACTAAGCTGTTATTGATAGGATATTTTATTGATAATTATTATATTTTTTAATGGATTCAATTATTTTTAGTTTAAAATTTGTTACCTGTGATAATTTGTTAACATATTTTTTCTGCACTAATTTACACTTAAAAATTTTGGAAGTGGTTTTGTGGTCTAATTTTTTTATTGATTTGATGTGATTAAAAACTGTTCAGGGACAAAAAGTCTAACAAGATGAAATATCCTCCTGATGAAATATTTACTTTTTGCAGTCTCAAAAAAATTTGTTTTTCCTTCATAATTGAACCATCTGCAATATTTCAAAAAATAATTTTAAACAGTTAGCTGGAAACAGATTAATAATTAATTTCTATCATTAGATATTAACATAAACATGTTGTAAGGATTTGTTTCTGCTGAGAATATGGGATAGGAAATATTTAACTAAATAAGTTCATCCACTCACTTAGGAGTTCATGACTGATTATTTGAGGATTTACTAAACTATGATCTTTCCCAGATTCTGAGCTGAAATTTTGTTTATTTTCTTATTTAATTTTAATGGTTAGTTTTCCTTTCCAGTATGACAATGTTAGTGAGTTTTAAAATTATGATGTTAAAAGTACTATTGTAATTTGTAAGACAATTGAGATCAGTACAGGGACAATGCAGCAGTCTTCCAACTCTATTAATCCCTTCAAAGGGTCTATTGTACAATAGTTCACTCAAAAAGGGTTCCGTTCATTCCACTTCACAATCTTCAAGGCTATGAGTTTAGTCTCTCACCATAACTCCAGTCATTTTTACAGCTTAGAATAAATATTATGAAGTACTCAGTCTAATATTTATCTATCAAGAACGTCTTTTGGACTCGGATATGTGTGGAATCCTTCCAATATATCAATTTATGTGAAGAATCGATTAATCCAAAAAAATGAAGATAATGGAGTAACAGTTAGTCCGGAGTTTATCAAAACATCCATCAAAACTTCATGAATGCCTTCATCTTTTCTTAGCCTACAACCTTTTGGTCAATGAAAATACCCAGAAATGGAGCGTTTTCAATCTGGAGATCGGTAAACTTCGTTTACTTAATGAGGTAAAACACATGAACATCTATTTGTTTTCCACTTAAATCGTGAAATTCGATCATTTTGATATCACCATTTGAACACAAAATGGAGAAAAATGGTGGCTTACAAAAATATTAGGCTGTTGGGTGTGACCTCCAACCCCAAAATTTTAAAATAGCGAGATTATATAACTCCCATGGCCCAATATTTTTGTAAAACATCTTTTATCTTACGATTCAAATAGAAAGCAAAGGGGTATTCACAAGAAGCTTTCATAACCTAATTAATTTAATGAGAAAGCGCCACTTTTCTAAAAAATTTCATAGATAAAAAAAGTTGTAGGTTGTGATAACATGAAGTCGTGAAGTTTTAGATAGAGGTTAATAATTTGATAAAATGTAGTCTGAAAAGCGGATTACGTAGATTCGTTCAATGCTAATCATTACTGAAAGAGACTCCAGTCCTGTCCACAAGAATCACTTCTTCTTGAGCTTGCCTTCCATCTGGATGGTGTTGGATACGTTGTCTATGCACTCCTCCAAGGACGGATTGCTCTGGTCGGCGGAGTAGTCCTCGCCGATGACCCTGGAGAGGGTGAGGATGTAGGAGGCGGCTATCCTGAGAACGCTGAGCTTGCTGAGCTTCTGGTTGTGGGAGTACGCGGGCACCGCCCTCCTGAGGGTCTCGAAGGCGGCGCTGATGGTGTGGACCCTCGTCCTCTCCCTGGCGTTCGCCTCGATCCTCCTCTCCCGCGTCATGTTCTTGTAGTTCCTGCGCTGGCCGGAACCGGAACTGCTGGGGCTCGCAGAGCGCTTCGACACCAGTGGCAGTGGCTCTTCCTGCGGCGTCCACGGTCGGAACGGGGAGCAGCACTTCCTCCGCTTCCGGTCGTCTTCCTTGATGGGTGTCGTCGACTTCCTCTTTCGGGTCATTCCAACCACCTCATCTTCTTTAGGCCGTCCGCCTACTTCTTCCTCCCAGATGCGGGCTACGGCACAGGTCATCACCTACAAAAAAAAAAACAATAGAACCATTAGAAAAACTACGCATAATTAATCTCATAATCGTAGAGAAAAGGTTGACTGTACTGTACTATAGTAGTTAAACTAAGAAAAGTTGGTTGCTGTGTGCATTCAGTGAACAACACAAAACATTATTTATTCAGTAATTATTTATTTTCTTTGTTACAATTTGTCAGCCAAAGTTTTATGTCTTCGTCAAGACTAATAACAATAAAACAAAGAAAACATAGTAACGTCATGAAAATAATAATAGTGATGTAAAATATATAACAGCGTATATCAAGACTAAATAGATCTTTCTTCTCTCTTTTAAAGGTATTGAAATCCCGAAAAATTTCAATCTAAGGATGTACAATGGTATTATAAAGCCAGTTCCAATATGCGGCTGAGAGATCTGGACTCTAACCAGCACCCTAGAAAGAAGTATTGAATGATATTAGTGAAAAATCCCAGCATGCTACCCGGAGTGATCTGAGATCAGAGTACTAACGCATAGAGAAGAAAGACCAATAAAGAAGTGCTTACAGAAACTATTCAGTTAATACCTCATGATGTAAAGGCAAGGAGTTTAAGATGGGAGGGGCATGTGTATATATATATATATATATATATATATATATATATATATATATATGGATAATTTATTATAATGTTTTGCATATACAATTTTTTTTTTCCTTTTCTGTCTCTTTATTATTTATTATTGTTTTTTTTGTTTTTTTAGCAAGTATATTCTAACTATCGGAAAACTTTATTTTTTTTTTTTTATATATCTTTGAAAACTATCCACATACTTATTTTATTTATTATTTATTTGTTGTTGTTAATTCATTGTATTAGTTTTTATGTACAAAATTAATGTTCATTTATGTTGTATATATTGTTACCATTGTTATTCTTAAGGGACTTAATCCCAGGAAAAGGTTGATTTTTCTATTTCTATTTTAAAGTTATTTCTCGAAACTTAGTATTCTGATGATGTGTTACTTTAAGAATGAGCATTGAAGAACCGGCTAACAACTTAACGACCGAAAGAGGGCACCATTGAGCGGAGGTAAACAATACACGTCTATTGGGAGCATCAGAGCGTGCCAATGAATGAACGCCTGTCGAATCGGAAAACTACAGGTGCAGCGGTGGGTGGATCCGGTACGAACCAATCACGTTGCTCGGTTCCTGGCTCCCGACCAATGGGATTGCTCCTTTCATTGTTTGTTTAAGACAGGTAACGAGAGACCGCAGACCACAGCTCGTTAGGCAGCCCGGTCCCCCGCCCCATTACCCGCGGGAGTGGTCTTATAATATTAGCCTCTTCACAAATTATGGTTTTCATGATACGCCCACCAATCGTTAACTGGATCACGTAGTCCACGGTATCTTATAGTTTTTTTAATCGGTTTCCAGAAGAAGATGACCATTCATAAGGCCTTGGTTCGCGAAATATTAAGGCTATTAAAACGGAATCTGCGGAAAGGCATGCGTATTAAACTAATGGAAATTCTGTATAGTCAGAACAAGAGATGTGGTGAGGACTGTGGACTCCAAATTACCTATTCACAAATGTCAGGTTGTTACAATTTTTTAAGGATTGGTATAATTTGTTTCTCGTCTAATAAATCCCACTAATTTCCTGTCAATCTAAATGATATCCAACAAAGATTTGAATCTGTTTTCTATAGCTCAATCAGTTATGAGGAAGTTCCTAAACTCATTTATAAGCATCAAAATTCCATCAGACCATTCCTAAACTCATCGATTTGGATTCCAGCCCGTTCCTTTGTTCAGACATTAAATAATCGATAGTTCAGTATTTCTATCGACTTTTATAGTCGATGGATACGCTGCCATAACCCACATTATAATCTCAGTGTTATTATTTACCAATTTACTTTTAACTATTTATATTCAGCTTACGTTCATTCTAGATTTATTTCTGTTTTAAAGTTCAACAATTTATTGTATTTTTTTATATGTTCTATAACCTTTCACTGGAATACAACAGATCTTTTCTAAACTCAGCACTGTCCATCAATGCGGAATTTAATGGATTGATGGATTCCTTCCATGAACTTATCGGTAGGTTTAGAAACTTGTCTTATATAATTGAATTTTTTTTTATATAAAAAATTTATATTTAGAGTGAAATATATGGAATTTGTATAAAAACTGGAATGCCCACAGCGAAGGAGTGACCATATTTATTTCTAATGAAGAGTTTTATCTTTGTTCCAACACCATGCCCCAAATCAACTCCATTCATTTGTTTTCCGCATTTACAGGAGCACCCAAGTGGTTAATTACTATTGATGTTTTATCCAAAAGGCATTAGAATAAAAGTATCAGATTGCCCTGTGGTAACTTAAAACGAGCTTTTAAAGTAATAACGTAGTTAAGGAGTATTTATTGCACTAATTTTACCACCTTAATCAAAACGTACGAGCTTATTCAGAATGGACGTGGTAAATTTTAATATTTTTCCGTAGTTAGAATTGTGATAAATAAATATAAGTTACAAGTCAGTACATTTGAAATGAATGGTTTGGTATAATTTTGAAAGAGGCAAGGTTCACTAAATGCTACTCCGTTTAAAAAACGAAGAAAATATATTCAAACTTCCTCAATCTCCCAAGGTGTAATTACGACCTTATTTTATTTTATTTTATTTATTACATTAGTTATATTTTATTCTTCAAATATTAAAAACATAGAAAATAATCATAGATGAGTCCATTTCCATCATATTTATAAAAGCAAAATAAAAACATTAATATATATATATATATATATATATATATATATATATATATATATATATATAAATTCTATTCTTTCTACGGTTCTTTATGAACGCGAAAGGTGGCCACTTACATTGACTACTCAGGTAACGTCTTAAGGTTTTTGAACATAAAGTACTGCGTAGTATATTCGGACCGGAGAAGGATGAGTCAACCGGAGAATTTAAGCGGTTATACAACGCTGAAGAATAAAATGGGCATGAAAAATCGCTGGGCTTTGTAACGAAAGAATCTTTAAAAAGTTAACATGCAGTCGGCCGAATAGTAAGCGTCTGAGGAGTAGACCGAAGCGAAGGTGGGAAGATTGCTGTAAGGTTGATCTGAGGAGATTGGGTTTAGACGGCGCTCGGTGGATGGAAACATGCAGACATCGATTGGTGGAATCAGAACCGAACCTTCGGGTCTTCTAAGTCTTATTATTATTATTATCTTTATTTTTTCACATATGTGGCTTGGAGCTGAAGGTGGGGACAAGTCCAACCATCATAATTATTTTAAAATGCACTGACTATTCTGAGCCAGGTCTAAACTCCTGCCTGTGGAAAACAGGCCTCTAGGAGATCCTAGCGCTTCTCTCTACTCTTTAGGCCGCTTAGCTCGTCCAACTTAATTAGTCATCGTTAATTTTCTTTGCGGTTCTATTGATTATCGTGTAACTGTTAGGCCTGGCGAGAACTGAGGCGTTTAGCTTTTAAAAAAAAAAGGACAGAGTAAAAAGTAAAAAAGGGGCGGAACTGGCGGTGTAGAACGATTTATATCTCGGCTTGTAAACAGATCCCCAGAAAGGGGGGGGGAGTGGATGGGGGATGGGTGGGCCTGGCGGGTTTTTGCCCGCGTCAGCGAGGGATGAACCTAGGTAACAAAAAGTCTCTCCAGTCAAATCGTTCTCTACTCTCCGGATCGGGTTATTGCCCATAAATCTAACGCATTTTTTTTTTTCTCCAGAGTCCGCAGAGGATCTTGGATAGTGAATCTTCGTTTATTCTTTCAAATGCTGGAGACATTTGAATATAATTCAAAACTCAATTATAGTAAAGTATAAAGTAGAAGAATTACTGAGATTTTTGATTGTACGAATTATTCACTTTGTAGACATGGAGGAAATTTCATTTGCTTATGAGCGTGTATAAATATACACTACCTTATTTACTTAAACAAATATATAAGTTTGGCAAACTTGAAATTTGTCTTAAAAGTCGACGGGGTGGGATATAGGGGTTTTTAGTGAAAATGAGAGTTTGTACTAATGGTTTCCTATTGTATATCAGCCTCAGGCGGAAGTTTTTATAGTGTTGTGTTATAATATCTGAAACTGTTTGGATGTCCATGTCTGTGTGTTGCTAGTCATTTGTTACACAAAACGGTGCGTCTGCTATTTCTTTCGTAACTTCTGATTAAAAAGGTTTTCATTTTGAGGATGTTTGGAGTTATCGCAGTACCACATAAGTCTACCACGTAAGTCCATAAAGTTTTTATAAGAAATTTCTAGAAGTTAGTTCTGATAGTTATTATATGGATAATAATAACATCGTTTGTTTTCTGTTTTTGCCCAACTGAAGTCCCAAATATCGTACTTTTTCAGAAATGGGAATAGTAACGTTATTATAATACATCAGCGGAAATGTTCCATTGTTTAGTGTAAAGAAAATGAATATACTTTTGGATGCATTGAAGCCCAATTAAAAATATTATATATGTGGTTTTATATGACGAAAGATACACATTTTTTTTTTTTAAATAAAGATTTCTAGTATTATCATCAAATGTTGCTAATAAAGTCTGGTCGTGTTCTGGTAAGTCTGCTGTTAAAATGTTGAATAGTAATGGTCCCAGTACACTGCTTATCCCACTAACTTGTTTTATGCCAGATAATTCGTTGCATAATTTTACTCTATGAAAATAATATTAAAGAAGAAGAAAAAGTATTTTTATTTATCAAAATTACAAAATATAAATTACAAAATAATATTTTTGGATTTTAAACCGAAAATCAGACGTGCTACGTGGTGTGTTGACCTTCAGAGGAGTCTGTGTTTCATAACAAAATTATATTTCACTCTATTTATATGCAACTAATTAATAGGATAATAAGAACAATTATATTTACAATGTACAAGTTATACAAATATTTTAATTACAAAAATAGTGGTACTTAAATTCTCCAATTTATTAATTGTTACATCCTCGGGT